ACCTGGTCTGTGGTGCAGTGTCCCTCTCTGAAACCATATTGTTCAGGAGGTAAGAGGTTGTCCGCTTCCAGATGGTAAGTAAGTCGCTTGAGGATCATTTTTTTCATGATTTTGCAAATAATACTGGTAAGAGCTATTGGCCTCCCTGAAAAGGTACTTTCTTTGTTGGGGTTTCTAATTGGAATAACGACCGCTTGTCTCCAGTCACACGGAAGCCTTCCCTTTCTCCAGGAATCATTAAGAATATTTAAGAGCCTCTGTTTCCCACTTAGTCCTAGGTTGGTGATCATTTGGGCGTGGATGCCATCAGGACCATTACTTAGGTTTAAGTTTGTGATTATGGCATCTAGTTCTTGATTGCTGAACTCTTTATTAAAGATGGAAGGAAACCTTTGTTTGTTTTTGCGGCAGTCTCTTATGATGTCACTTGCTGCTTTCCTTATAGGTTTATCATCGCTAGTGAACCTTAAATTACTCGTGTTCCGGTAATGCTTCCCTAGAATATTCTCCGCCTCTTCATCGTCCTGCGCATATGTCCCGTTTGTGTCCTTAATTGTGTTACTTTGCTCATATTGAGGCTGTTCTTTGCTAATGTTTTTCACTATTTTCCATAATTTACCGTTAGGTGATCTATGGTCTAGTCCTTTGCAAAGCTCGTTCCATTTACCCCGTTTGAGTTTTGCATACAATAATTTCAATTGGGCATTGATCTTGCTTAGTTTAAGGGGTCTTGTATAGTCTAACTTTGGACCTTGGGGGACCTTAAGGGGTCTTGTTGATCTTGTTTAGTTTAAGGGGTTCAAACTTTGGACCTCTTAAACCGCTCTCCTGACCAAACTATGGGGAACCTATTTCCCAGATTGCGGCTACCCTCTATGTTTTGGGGGTCAGAAATCCAAATCCATTAAAAAGGTATGTTTATTCAGAGAAAGTGTGTTTTTGTATATGGTTTCGCAACTTAAAACATCGTCTGCACTATTTAATTAGCATATTTAAGGTCACCCTCTCAAACCATTAAGATTGAGTCCTAGAACGCGATGATTCGATCATTAGATCCAAAATTACTCAGCATAGTGTCGTCTGCAGTGTGAATGTGGNTGTTCTGGTAATGCTTCCCTAGAATATTCGCCGCCTCTTCATCGTCCTGCGCATATGTCCCGTTTGTGTCCTTAATTGTGTTACTTTGTCCATATTGAGGCTGTTCTTTGCTAATGTTTTTCACTATTTTCCATAATTTACCGTTAGGTGATCTATGGTCTAGTCCTTTGCAAAGCTCGTTCCATTTACCCCGTTTGAGTTTTGCATACAATAATTTCAATTGGGCATTGATCTTGCTTAGTTTAAGGGGTCTTGTATAGTCTAACTTTGGACCTTGGGGGACCTTAAGGGGTCTTGTTGATCTTGTTTAGTTTAAGGGGTCCAAACTTTGGACCCCTTGAACCGCTCTCCTGACCAAACTATGGGGACCCTATTTCCCAGATTGCGGCTACCCTCTATCTTTTGGGGATCAGAAATCCAAATCCATTAAAAAGGTATGTTTATTCAGAGAAAGTGCGTTTTTGTATATGATTTCGCAACTTAAAACATCGTCTGCACTATTTAATTAGCATATTTAAGGTCACCCTCTCAAACCATTAAGATTGAATCCTAGAACGCGATGATTCGATCATAAGATCCAAAATTATTCAGGGTGGTCCGTTTTTTTTCACTCACTCAGAGCCGTTTTTATGTTTTTAGGGGCCCTGTGCCTATCTTCATTTAGGGGGCCCTTTATGAGTAATTTTAAGGGAAAAAATTTTACTTTTGAATATTTTCTTTTATTTTAAGAAAGTAAAACGATGATACATTATTATAAAAGCTTTAATGCATTATCTGCATAGAAAGATTAAGGTAGTCATACTTTTTACTCAAAAGCTTAGAGAGGTGAAGCCTTCTATCACATCACTAAAATCAATTTCCTAAAAGACATCGCAGCCAATGCTCATGATTGACAAATTACTCATTCTTTCTTAAAGTCATGTGATTTCTTAGGTCATTTTTTATTAATTTTAGTCTGGAGAACGAGAGTGGGTCACTACATTTAGTTATCATGAGTGGCAATTGTCAAATGTCACTCATGAAAAAAAATTGACAAATGTCAATATATGAAAATGTGTCGCCTAGATAGTTGTTTTTTACTATTTTATACATCTTATCTATTCCTAATTGGTCTAAATTATTCTCCTAGGCCAAATCATGCGTGAAATGTTCTAATTAAAGCGCTAGTTCTTTTTCATTCACATCATTGACATAAAATCTTCAAAACTTCTAACAGTGAAGCATTAATTCCTTGGACTTTTGAAAATGCAAATTTGAAAAAAAAATTTGAACAAATCAGCTATGGGTTTATACGCCATTGAAAGAGATTTTTATTGACTAATCTAAGTGTCAATAACTGGAGTATAAACTTTAAAAATTGTACCTTGTAATTTAACATCAACTGCATCTCCATATTAAAATGTCAAAGAAGAAATTCTTCGTAATGTACTCTTCGTCTCATCTTCACATTTAAAATTAGGTAAATTTTCCTTGGAAATGGCTTCATGAGTGGAAAACTTTTCTCTCTGCTCACTCACAAAAGCAATTTCAGACTATCATCGATAGGAAGCATCTTTCTTCTTCTATATATGCTTATTGAAGTCTGATTTATTCTTGATAACATATCACGACAAAATTCTGTCAACACAATATTTTCCAATTTCTTTAGGAGACCACGAGCATCGAGTCCAGTTTGAGCAAAATCGGAATTAAGACTTTTTCAAAGATTTATTTAAAACGTAAATAAAGCATTGCTTTTACACATTCGGTTAATATTTCATTTACACGTACTTGCAAAACGGGTCTTAAATAGGTCTAATGAGTTAGGGGGCCTACAGAAATTCGGGGACCCTAGGCTCGGTCCTCTCAGGCCTTATGATAGATAAGTTAAAGTTTACCTAAGAAATTTCGAATCACCCCAAATGACAAATAGACAGGCATATAAAAGGAAGACAGACAGAAACATGTGTGAATTAATTGGAAACAAAACTTGCTACGATTTCTTTTCATTAACTTCGTGATTGGAGCTGAGCGTTGATCTTGTTATCCTTACAACTTCTTTCTTACTGGGCAATTAATCAGATATACCATGAAAGGGGGGGGGAAAGGATCCCTGCGAGCAGAAACATTCTTTCTTTAGAACCTTTGATTGATTAAAAAAAAAATGCTCTCTTATATGTCAAGGTTCCTTTGTAGCTGAGTGCACGGAACGTATTTTTATCTCCTACCCTCGCCCTATATTTAATAAGAAACAAGTTTCATTTCATTTTGTATTCAGTATTTTGTTTGATTAACATATTTAGAGTATTTGTTTGAACTATTTCTGTACTATCTTTATACGCTATTATAAAAAAAATAGCGCTCTAATACGAACGAAGCAGAAGTGAATTCTGATTGTTCTAATTGTTGACTTTTAAATAATCAACTTCCATCCCGCATCTACACCACAATGATCTACACTTATGATGGACAAATCAAAAGCTACAATCCCGTCGAGTTAGCCGTTTTTAATATTCATTTTTCCTTTTCACATTCGAATTAATTTTGCGCAGATGAAAAATCGTCAAAGTAATAATTTACGTGGGAAAATTGAAATTTTTTTTACTTTCCTGACAATTTTTTCTTATGGAGCACATACAATAATGTTTATCAAGGAAACAAAAAACGAAGATAATTTGCGTAAAAACAAACTATTTCTTGCAAAAGATATATATCAAGCATTCGATGAAAAAAATTTTAATTCACCAAAAATGTTTAAAGAAATATGTAAAATCGGACTTTTAATAACGATCATTCAAATTCCAGTATACATTAAATAACTGCTATTGACATAAATAAATTAAACACAATATTTTATTCTTCTAAAAGTTGGATTTAATTAATTAGGGTTTGCACAATCCATTATTAAAACATTTAGTTATGATAAAAATTTTCATAACGATCATTATTGACTTAATGGTAGACTTTCAAAAATATTGATTTTTAATAGTGTAATATTTAATTCGTTTTATGTTTATTAGTTTAACACTGTGTATTAAATAGTTGAATTTTATTATATAACACAGTTTGTTTAATTATTAAAGACTTTAATATTGGGATTCATAAATGAACCATCATCGTGTAACAAAATTTTGCCAGATACAAATTGTACGAGTATATGCTACCTATACAATCTTATATGGTTTGCTTTGTAAACCAAGATACCGTTTGCTTTCTACAAGGTTGAACATATTTGAAATGTCTCCTAAATCAAAAATTAAAATCTTTAATATCTTTGTCAAAAAAAAATTTATAGTGAAATAAATGACATGAAAATTTTGCAGAAACTATCCTATTGAAAAAGAAAAACGCGAAAAAGAAATGAGGACTTACTTTGTCGCTTTATAGACTCCATATGGACTGTTAGAAATTTCGGAGTGAGTTGAAACTTAATACTATACTGCAGCCTTAATCTGTCAAGTTATTGTACAAATTAATCCTTTTTTTTATCGTAGATTCAACCTGAAGTGTAATTTAATACTTATTAAGATAATGCTAAATCAAGAGAAAAAAAAAAGAAGTTTCTCATATTATCGTTTTATAAAGATTACACGCGTCAATTGCAACGAGAGAAATAATATGAATCGGATTTTCATTAATTAATTTAAAAGGATCAATCGAGTAGAAGAAGATGACAAATAAAATAACGGAACTGAAAACATTGTGCAAGAGGCATTATTTTCTTCTTCCAAGGGTTTAAAAAGGATGGTTTTTTGTACCCCTTTTTTACATATATTCTTTTGAATCTGTTGTTCCGACAAATCCCAAAAGTGTCACTTCGTACCTTCTTGCCCAATTATGACTTCAAATCAACAATAAATATTCAAAAATCAACAATTCAATCTTCAATAAACAAGAAACTCACTAATTCTCGAATCTTTCAGATGGATGGTAGAACTCTTGCCGGACAGGTGGGCAGTACAGCTGGAGGTGTCGGACGTAATCTGGCTGACGGCATGTCCAGACTTGAATTAAATCCATTCTTCATCTCGGCAGTGGGTGTCCAAGAACATTCCCAAGCTCTACTCAGTAAAATGCGGCACATGGTACGTACACTGTTAATAACATAGAAAAAGAATAGTAAGACTATTAATTACAGAAGAGAGAACTAATTCATTAACAGCACAGCAATGCAAGTCATAGGTTGTAACAACGGAAATTATTGATGTTTAACTTCCTCTCGTCCAGGGCTGAATTGGTTGTCAATTCCATCCAATATACATTCCTTTAAGAAGTCATAAAAATATTTTCCCTCATCAGTGTTCATTTTATACTAAAATCGCCGACAATCTACGCATTATAGACAAATTAATCATTAAAAAAAACATATTAATAATTAATTGCTCACTGGGGAAAATAAAGTAAAAAAATTCAGTCTGGAAAAGTTCAACTTCAAGAGTATCGTCTGCTTTTCTTTATTTGATCTTGTTGGACTGGTTTTTTTTTTTTTTATGAATGCTTTCGTTAGTTTCAATTTTTAGGACTTTATTTGTGATAATGATGTTAATCTAATCGATATAATTCATCTAGTCGAAAAGTGTGCGGACAAGAAAAATCTAGATCATCCATTTTTCCCATGGTCATTAATACTCTACAACTACCAGAAATAGTCTATATAACCTTACAACAGTAGATTCACTTAGTAGATAACTAGCGGACGTACAAACCAAGAACATTTTGAGATAGTTAGATCTCGAAATGATTTTTGGGGCGTTACCTTATCTATAGTTCACGAAAAAGGCAACAATCAAAAATGAAGTTGCAGTTGTAGTAAATGCTAACGGTAATACCATTAATAATTTGCCGAACATGTGCTTAACAATTTTTAAAAATTTCCACCGAAATAGTAACCTAGTTTGATTACCACTAAAATTTCGAGTGGGTCCTACTTTTCCAATTCATATTTTCTCTTACAAAATTTTTCTAATAATTATTCTAAATATATAATATAGTTATTCGAAATATATAACATAATTTTTCTAAACATATAACATAATTATTCTAAATATATAACATAATTATTCTAAATATATAATATAATTCTACATTTCTAATAATTTTCTAATAATTAGTTATTTGCGAGAAGAAACAGAAAAATACTGCAAATACAGAAGAAAGATAGAATTTTTTTTTCTCTTTGTTTTGCTTCAGTTTCGGTCAAAGATTAACGATCAAAAGCTATAATAATGCTCATCGGTTTTCATTTAAGCACTTCCTATTGTACAATTGAACAAACATATATAAATAAAAAAGTTAAAATTAAGCAAACAATGCTTTTTCTTTTTTCTTTTTTTTCTTTTCTTTTTTTTTTTTTTAAGTTTATTCTTCGAGAAATTCCTCCTCCCCCTATTGATTCGTTTCCATTCACTCGAGTCATAAATCACACTTGAAGTCTCAGTTGAGAGAAAATTATTCTGGGTCATTGATCACTTTCTCATTAAGTCACGTGATCCATTTCTTTTCTGAGACTCTGATTGGTTATCTGTGGTGACTGTTCTTAAGGCTGCTAAATTGAGTGAATGATACGTTCCATATTTCGTGAAAAGAATCATTTATGTCTCCGTTTAGATAAGATATACCTTCTCTTTCATCGACATTTAATGTTACAGTACGCAAAAGAGAAGAAATGGAGAAGCTGAATAACTTAAAAAACGAATGATCCTATTTTTATGTACTAACAAGCAATGCTTATGATTTAGTGCAGGCGATTTATTCATTTATTTTTTTAAAATTATGAAACCAGACACAAAAGCGTACACTTTTTCTGAGTAAACGAACCTTTTGATTTTACAAATGTGTTAAACATTTTTTTAATCGCTTTCATAAATATAGAGATCGCATTTAACAGAACACAAAACTTACGTACGTACTTGAAAAAGAGGAGTAACTAACTAACTTACTTGAAAAAGACGTGAATTTTGTTCGACAAATAGAGGCTAAAAGGTATGAGGTTCGATTTTCGGTCGTCGATCTCATGCATTCAACTTACGTCGGTGACGTCATGGTCTGCGGGGATCGGCCAGTTTATTTTCATTTGCTGTTAGCCGTTCTTGCGTGAATTATGACGTCACACATTATTTGTATTTAAGCTTCTGTTGAAGCAGATCATTTGGGTATTCTTTCTTTTCGTCACTCTGTTTGTACTATTCTTTATTACTAATGTTTTTAAAATAAACTCATTTCTTCAAAAACTTCGTTTCTCTTTTTTTTTTTTTTTTTTTTTTTTTTTTTTTTTTTTTTTTTTTTTACTTGAGTTATTGATATACAGATATGATATTCTGAGAGGATCTCGGCTGTCAAATTTTCCGTATCGTTACCAATGCGAAAATGATAGCCACGTTCTGACAACTGCGGCAATATCTATTGAAAAAAAGCACACTAACATTTTGGAGATTGTAGAGTATTTTCATTTGTTGAACAAGAGATAACCATAGGAACGGGTTAACTGAGAGCTAGAATGAGCTACAACATTTACTGTACGCAGACTGTTTCACAGTATGTGAACCAGGCAAAGTAATCCGGAGTTAGAAGAGGGAAATGTGTATTCATTCTGAAATTGGTTCACTATAAAACTTAAGGTTAGTAGTCCGCCGATTTCTAGTGTCATACTTTCAAGACACTAGGAATAGAACAAAAGTGAACGATTTATTTATTCTAAAGAACGTTTAAAATAATATCGATGTACAGTGTGCCAAAAAAATAGGACTACCCTGAATAACTTTTGATCTAATGATCGAATCTTCACGTTCTAGGACTCGATCTTTATGGGGGAGGTTGCTTCAAATATGCTAATTAATTAGTACAAACGATATTTTAAGTTACGAAATCAGACACAAAGAAGTACTTTCTCTGAAAAAACATACCTTGTTTTCGATGGACGCGGATTTCTGACCCCCGAAACATCTGGGGAATAAAGTCCCCACAGTTTGATTAGGAGAGCGATTTGAACCCTTTAATGTTAATTTTACTATTTGCGTATTTTCCCATATTTTGGGAACTTCTTAAGCGAATTGAAAAAATTTTTGTTCACAATTATAAAATTTGTTTTTCCAAAGATAATTCTAAGCAAAAAAATAAATTTTACTAAGTATTCATTATTTTTTTATTATTTTATTTTAGTCGAAAGAAATTTGAATTGTAAAGTATGCAACTTTTTACATCATTTTAAGGAATACAATTTTAAGAATAATTATTTAATTAATTGAGAATTAATAAATTAAGAATTAATAAATTAAGAATTTCATTTAAAGACATAGATACAAAGTTTAAGCGAAATCGGTCGAATAGTTTCTAAGAAATTGAATTTTAAATATCCGACTATTTTAAATTTCGATTTCTCAGAAACAATTCGATCGATTTTGCTTAAATTTTGTATTTTGTCATTTAAAATTGCATTCTTTAAAATGACGTAAAATGTTGCATATATTACAGTTCAAAAGTGTTTCGACTATTATTAAATAAAATAATGAAAAATATAAAATATTTACCAAAATTTATTTTTTGAATGGAATTATCTCTGAATGTGAATGTCTTGAATGGATAAACGAATTTTGTAATTGGATGCAAAAAGTTTTTCAATTCACTTAAAAAGTTCTCGAGATATGACGAAATACGCAAAAAGTAAAATTAACATTAAGGGGTTCAAACTTTGGATCTCTCTCTTGATAGGGTTCTGACCCTATTCCTCCGATTGAGGTTACTCCCTATATTTCGGGGGTCAGAAATCCGAAGCCATCTAAAAAAAAAGATATGTTTATTCGAAGAAATTACGTTTTTGTGTCTGATTTCATAACTTAAAATATCGTCTGCTCTAATTAATTAGTATATTTAAAATCACCCCCTCGAACGAACTATTAAAATTGAGTCCTAGAGCATGAAAATCCGATAATTAGATCAAAAGTTATGCAGGATGGTTCTTTTTTAATCTTTGAAACTGCAACCGATTTATTAGGAAGAAAAATAAAATAAATTCAAATTAGTTATCATATCGTTGCAGTAAATTTACAGACGATTTAGTTAGAAAAAAATATATAATTACTTTAAATAAGTTACTCAATCGTTGCAGTAAATAGTTTCACCTCGTCTCGAAGTTACGGCAAAAAAAAAGTAAACAACGAAGAAATTATATTGTAAATGAACGATAAGTTTATTATATACAGAGTTGTATTGCACGTCGAATTTTCTGAATTATAATTCTTCTTCTTCTTTTATTGAACTCAGATTTCTTTCTGTATTTTATAGTAACCGTGATATAGTTTTGTTTTGTGTACCTGGCAACTTCGATGCATAATTAGTTTGTTTATGTTCCACGTGGCTTCGTGTTAAGTCTTTGTGTAAATTGAAAGAATTGAAATCTTTGAGAAAGAATCTTTGTGAAAGAATCAAGAATGTGTCTATTAAGATAATTGATACTTGACGGGCTTGGCGTACTTCAAATCGAAGGAAAAGAACAGTTTCTAACGTAAACAATTGCCACGTTTCAACAACCCATCAGGATAGATACCCACACACTACGTCACTTGCAGGTTTTCTAGATTGCCTCAGATGAATGCAGTTAAAAACGGATCGTTACCAACCTCTTAACCTCTGACTAAAATATATTAAATGATATTAAAATATATTAAATTATAGAAAACAACGTGGAGATAATGACAGCTGTCCTACATAATTTGAGGATCAAAAATCCACGTCAGTTGGGGGGGGGGGTTAAGTTTATATTCAAACAATGTGTGTTNTTGAGGGGGGGAATTAAGTTTATATTCAAACAATGTGTGTTTTGTGCGTGGTTTCGTAATTTAAAACATCGTTTGCACTAATTATAGTATCCATTTAGGGTCCATCTTTCGAGCATTTAAGATTGTTTGCTTGTGTGCAAAAACCCGAACATTAGATAAGAAGATTTTGGTTTATTCTATTTTTATGGGATTCAATTGCACACTGTACAGAAACATCTACGAACTTTAATTCTTTCAAAATGAATATACATCCTAAAACAATGTATAATTTATTCATTAGAAGCATTAATGAAACCCCGCAGTCATTTTCT